CTGGGATTAAAGGCGTGTGCCACCACCACCCGACTCAGCTGCAAACATTTGATCATGTAAAAAAACATGTGATTTGCCAAGTGTGGTTGGTGCATGCCTTTAATCCCAACACTGGAGGCAGAAGCTGTGAGTCTGAGGCCAGCCTGGTCTACCTAGTGAGTTCTAGGACAACCAGGGCTATGTAGAGAGACCCTTTCTCAAAAGATGGGGGTGGAGTGGGGTGGGGGACTAAGTGTGTAATTACTTTGTTTCCTTGTGACGGGTCTCATGTAACCAGACTGCCCTTGAGTGTAAGATTCCCTTGCCTCTCCCTCCCAAATGCTGGGATCACAAGCATTTGATCCATGGCTTGTCCTTTCATTTATTTATTTTTCCTTTAATATCGTTGAAGCTGTTTCAGTTTTTTGGCAGTTAAAACAGTATTCTAGCAGACTACTTAGATGTATATTTATGTGATTTGGATGAATTTTCTGAGTATTTCCATAGGGTAAGTTCTTACTGGAATGGGAAAGATGATAAACTATGTGTTAGGGATCTCTGGATCCCTTGATGAAGTAGCTTATGTGAAAACTGGCAGGTCTGTAGTTCCTAAGATGGCGGCATGAAACTCAGGTGTGGGTTGGTAGTGCAGTCTTGAAGCAGAATTTCTTTAGGAATGTTAGTTTTTGTTTTTATGGCCCTTCAGCTGATTAGATGAGATCCACCCATGTTACATAGTAAGCTAATAGTGTGTGTTCCCCCATGAACAGCATTTTCACAGGGGCACTTAAAAGATGGGTGGTGTTTGCTCACTCTGCCAAAGATGTGGGCCATAGGAAACAACTGAATTTTTGATACTTATGAAGCCCGGCTGATACCTGTGTACACAGCTCAGCTACTTCACCTAGACAGGGTGTTCCATATTGTGTGCACAGAAGCAGCAGCACAGGTGGGTCCCTTTCCAAAATCTGGCCGGTCCTATTCATTCAGTTCTTGGAATGACATTGCAGCATGTTGGCGTGTCACAGCTGTCAATACTTCAGTAGTGAGTTTTGGATTCCCCGTTATCCCAGCCATAAATGACTTGTAAACTATGAAAAATGTCCTGACATATATGTGTGTATTATACACATCCATGTATATATGTGGAAGTGATCTTACTCTGTAGTTCAGGCTTGCCTATAGCTCACTGTGTAGCTTAGGCTGGCCTCAGACTTGTGTCACTTCCCTTGTCCCAGCTGATTTAGAGAGGCAGCTCCTTTACCCTTGGTTGCCTGTTCTCTAGTGACACGCCTCCCTCCCAGATGCAGTAGTCTTAGCAGGGAGCTGTCAGCCAAGTGCAGTTTTTCTCCATTGTGATGGTTCTGAGATTAGCAGCTCCGGATTATGTTTGGCTAGGTCCCCATCCATTCCTGCTTTGCCTTTGGTGTCCATTCCTAGTCAGCCTTTGTCCTTTTTCTTAGTTGTATGGCTAATAGCCAGGGAGTCAAGCACTTTGTCAGTGCTGTGAACAAGTTTTGTAGATGCAGTGACCCAACTCTTGTGGAGTTGGTCCGGTCACTGCTGGATTCTGCTCACCTTGAAGTCTGTTAGCAGTTGGTAGTGTTCCCACAGGACACCCTCGGTGCTCAGGATCAGCTCTCTCTGCCCCTGTTTTCCCAGGTAAGGCTGGGCTTGTGTTACTGACCTAGACATTTGACTCATAGCAGCAGGGTTCCATGGGTTCCATTACTCTCTGGTTTAGATAAATAGGACAGCTTTACCAGTGACATGGTTTTCTCTTCATACAAATTGATCATTTCCAAGGTTGTGTTCAGAATCACAAACCATTGAAATAGTGAAAAATTTCTGCCCTTCAGGAATGAAGCTTTTCTCCTTCCATGCATCCTCTCCAATTTTTGTGGGGATGTTTCAGGGTTCCTCAGATGTGTAAAGATCTTGCATGTAACGAACCTGTGGACTTCCTCTTCTACTTTTAACTGACCTAGGTTATTCATGTCTACTACAGTGTAATGCTGTCATGTGCAGGGAATGATGCCCTACAAAGTCTGTTGAGTGTGGGTGTGGTTTCTTTTCTTCAGGTATTTTTGATCTAAGATTGTTTGAGGCCACAGATATGTAACTCATAGATGCAGACTACTCTATCTCTGTATAAATTATATACAAATACATATGTTTGTGTACACATGTATTTTCCTTCTTTAAAATAGTAAGATGTGGCTAGAGTGATGGCTTAGTGGTCCAGGGCTCTTGCTGCCCTTCCAGAGGACCCAGGTTCAGTCCTCAGCACCCACATGGCAACTCACAACCGTCTGTAACTCCAGTTCCAGGGGATCTGATGTCCTCTTCTGGTCTCTACAGGCACTAGGCACATACATGATGCATAGACATACACGTAAACAGAATATTCATACATATAAAATAACTAAAAATAAGAAAACCAGATAGAGCTAGGCATGATGACATGTCTGTAACCTCAACACTGATGAAACAGAAGTGGCATGATGGAGTTCAAGGTCATCCTCAGCCACATAGTGCAAGGCCAACCTGGGCTACATTAGACCTTGTCTTAAACACAGACAGAGAAACTTAATATATTCGGTGCATTCATACTTTGTTATTGAGGTATATGCATTAATTTTGAAAATTTGAACATTAAACCATCTTTACATTCCTAGAGTAAATCAAATTTAGTTGAGATGTCATATTATTTTGATATGTCTCTGTATTGGTTATTAATAATTTTAAGATTTTTGGTTTTGTGTTGTTTTTTCTTTTGAGACAGGTTGGCCTTCCCACTCACGATGGTCCTCTTGCTTCACCTTCCTGAGTTCTGGGATCCCAGTCTTGTGCTGTCACACCCATCTTAGGACGGTTCATAAGGGCCTTGTGTTGTTTTCCCTTTGCAATGTCTTTTTTTTTTAGCTTCCGGGTTTTTCTTTCTCTTCCAGTCTGTCTTTGTTTCATTTATCAGTAGCCTGGGCTGCTTTTGAACTTGGGATCTCTTCTGCCAACCTCTGGTGTGCTGAAATTTACAGGTATGCACCACACTGCCATGCTCAGTTTACTTTCCTAGCTTGTTGAGCTGGAAGGCTCGGTCTCAGTGTCTGTCTGTCTGTCTGTCTGTCTGTCTGTCTTTCTCTCTCTCTCTCTCTCTCTCTCTCTCTCTCTCTCTCTCTCTCTGTGTGTGTGTGTAAGTGTAATGTCTGGAGGGTTGACTCTAGGCCATATCTGCATGTTAGATGTATAGTATACCACTAATTTATACCCTTCACTTGTGGTTAGTTGTCCTTTTCTAATACATTAAACTTACTTATTATCACTTATTTTACTTATATAGACTTTGCAGTCAGTGTCTCATGTCGTCTTCTCTACCGTTCTCATCTTGTAAAAACTGGCCATGGGCCTGCCATCCTTACACAGACCACACAACCTGTCCTGGACGTGCCACTTCAGACTCATCTGTACTCGTGTATGCTGTTAAGCATGTATGTCATACCATCTTGCCAACTTCTAGGAGGATAGATACAGCCTAAGTCTGTCTTCTGTTGGGAGGTGACAGGTCTTCAAGCTCTGAGATAGGGATATGTGCAGGTCCATTGTATCTGCCGCTAGGAGGTACCTGCCGAGTTCGGGGGCTGACAGCCCCTATGGAAGCTTACATTGCTCTTCTCTTTGAAGAGCTTCTTCATTTTGCTGGCCGTGGTGACACCAATACCAGGATACAGTGGACTAACCCTCAGACTTGTGCCCCTGATGGTAGGAGACACATGCCACTTGCTTGACAGTGTGTTTACTGCTGCTCAGTCTGACATTCTTAATTATAGGGTAGGTGGGAGACTGCACACTTTCACCCTGGCTATGTAGCCCAGGCTAGCCTTGAACTCAGGATCTTCCTACAGTGTGAATCATCGCACCTGGACTTTCTTAGGCATCTGAGGCAATACTCTTTATTATATTTTGGGGTGATATTTTGTTTGTACTCTTAGCAAATAAAGTTTACCTGAAGATCACAGGACAGAGACAGCTATAGAGGTCAGGCAGTGGTGGCATATACCTTTAGTCATAGCACTCGAAGGCAGAGGCAGAGATCTGTCTGGATCTCTGTGAGTTCAAGGCCACACTGGCTACACAAGATTAATCCAGTCTAAAAGAGAAACAGAGCCAGGCAGTGGTGGCACACACCTTTAATTCCAGCACTAGGAAGCTTGAAACAGGAAGCGATCTGGCTGGGTAGAGAAAAAGGCGAGAGGAGACAGGAATTCATTCCCGTTTAGGCTTCTATTTCAGGCGGAGTAGTTGGTGAGGTAAGAGGTGGTGGCTGTGGCTTGCTCTGCTTCTCTGGTCTTTCAGCTTCCACCCTGATATCTGGCTCTGGGTTTTTATTAAGACCAGTTAGGATTCATGCAACAATATTTTTTTGTGTATATATGTGGTTACAGACATGCTGTCACCCATGAGTAGAGAGAGGTCAGGGGCAGCTGTCAGTACGCTCTCCTTTCCCTACTAGCTTCTGGGATTGAACTCTGCTGTCAGGACGTGCTGTTAAATGTTCTCACCCTTTGAGCCATCTTGCTGACTAGAGCCATACTTCTTTTAATCATTTTTTTAAGCTTCTAAGCACCGAGTCTTCTTTCCCCTCCTTTGTCCTATTGCTATACTTGCATATCAAGCTTGTCTGTCTTCTGCAAGTGAGCTCACTCACTAGTGCTTCTCAGGTTCTTTCCCCAGTGGTGCTAGGGATCAAAGAAGGACTGACCTGCTAAGGAAGCACTTTACTTCTAAGCTATGGTCTCATGTTCTCCAAAAGAATCTCTGATGATTAAATAGTAGGTGTTTTTCTTGTGGTTTTCCTGGGTTTGGGAGATTGAGTTCAGGGTCTGGTGTATACCATCTACGCTAAGCTATACCCAAACCTCTGGTGTTCCAATTACCATTTTACTCACATATCAAGTTCTCTTCAGTCCCATCCTTATAAATGTATAATTGAATTTCTCTGTCTTTTCTGTGTTCCCTGGCAGCTCTTCACAGATGGGATCACAAACAAGCTCATTGCCTGCTATGTGGGTGACACCATGGAAGATGTGGTTCTGGTGAGAATTTACGGCAACAAGACTGAACTGTTAGTCGACCGAGATGAAGAAGTGAAGAGTTTCCGTGTGTTGCAGGCTCACGGCTGTGCACCTCAACTCTATTGTACCTTTAACAATGGACTGTGCTATGAGTTTATACAAGGTGAAGCCTTGGACCCACAGCATGTCTGCAACCCAGCCATTTTCAGGTCATTCCTTTTCAAAAAAATTTTTATTTTTTTGGTTTTTCGAGACAGAGTTTCTCTATAACAGTCTTGGCTGTCCTGGAGCTCTGTGTAGACCATGCTGACCTTGAACTCACTGAGATCTGCCTGCCTCTGCCTCTCAAGTGCTGGGATTAAAGGTGTGTGCCACCACTGCCTGGCACTTTTCTAAATTTTTCCCTTAGAAAAGAATATTATGTGCACTAAGGAAATACATTTAAAAAAATTTAAAAATTACATTTATATGTGTGTGGAGGGGGAGAGGTGTATGTGTGTATGAGTTTGGGTGTTTTTGTGCCATAGCACATTCTTAGTGGTCAGAGGACAACTTGCTGGAGTGGGTTCTCTCCCTTCACTGTGGGTTTCTGGAGTCAGATTCAGGCCGTTTGCTGGCCTCTTACAAGTTTTTAACAGCTGGGTGTGGTAGTCCACACTTGTAATCCTAGGAGCATCTGTTCAGGGTCATCCTCAGCCACTTAGAGAGTTTGATGTCAGCCTGGGCTACATGAGACCCTGTGCCCCTCCTCCTGCAGAAGGAAAGTTTTTGAACACCCTGCAGACTTGTTTTATTGCCTGATCTCTGTTTCTCAATATCTATGTTAGAAGTTGAAACACTTTAGAATATTAAGAATATCACCAGGTGGACATCTTGTTTCATCGTCAGTATGGTGATTGGCAGGTAGACAGACTCAGCTGCACTCGAGAGAACAAGGGTGGGCATGGTAAATCATGTCTCAGGACAGAGCTTTACGGTGGAGCCTTCCTGAAAGGAATCCGCGGGTTGTACGTAAACAGTTTCAAGGGAGAGCTGATGAGAGATGAAGTGTGCCAAATCATTTGCCTGTGCTGAAGTTCTGGTAAACAATAGAGAAAAACATTTTCTTTTTCTTTTTTTTGCTTATTGTTTTTTGAGGCAGCGTTTCTCTATGTAACTGCCCTGGCTGTCCTGGAACTCACTCTGTAGACCAGGTTGGCTTTGAACTCACAGAGATCCACCTGCCTCTGCCTCCTGAGTACTGGGATTAAAGGCGTGCGCCACCACTCCCAGCTTTGTTCTTGTTTTTTTAATTAAAAATAAATCTTCACAGAGGATGCTATGAGATTTAAATTTATTTTGTAACAGTATAAAATTTGTAACAGGTAGATACAATTCTAAAAATGTCAGAATGCACTTACTAAAATTGGAACTTTATAGTGTCTAAATCTAATTTAATAAAATTGATGCAAAATAACCCTAAGGGATAGATGTTACTAAGCCTGCTTAAGTAAATGAAGAACTAAGTTATAAAGACATTTCAGTCATTAACCCTTGATCCACAGGGCTAATACAAGTAGATGCTGAAAAAATACCATTGATGGGTGACTGAGTCCTTATGTACTAAAATAGAATGTAAAGGAAAATAGGGCTTTGTTGTATGTACTGCTTAGAAAACATGACACTGTTAGACTTAAAGTGACCAGAGGAAATGAATGCAGACCATTCTGTTACTGCCTTGGGATTTATAATTACGTAATCATTGAGCCTGCTGTAGAGTTTCTTTTTTACCAAGGAAACTTAGTGATCTTTGTGAGCAACCTCTCGGAAAGAGTAGAATGTTTACGTAGTTGTTCCTTTATGTCCTTGAGAGACTCATTTCAAGATCCCTCCTCTCCACTGTTCTAAGTCTGGGTCCTCAGTGGTCCCTTGTGTGAGATGATAGGTATGGAGAACAGTGTGCCTCCCAGTGCAGTCATCCCTGGGAGTGCGAACACTCCAGAGCTGTTACGCTTTACTCTTCTGCATCTGAGAACAAGGTGGCTCCACGCTCAGTCCAGAACCGCCATTGTGGATCAGTCCAGCACACAGTATGTGACAGAGTGACAGCAGTGCCTGGAGGACAGAGACAGAGCAGCTGGGATGGGGACAGCTCCATCACCGCATTCCGTGCAGTGGTGTTATGTGGAGATTTTGTAGGACTTGGTGTGTAGCAAGGTATGACATGGTGAGATTGTTTTCTCAGTCATTTTGCTTGTGCTTGGTTGGATCCATGGATATGGAACCTATAGAGATAGAGGGGCTGATTACAGTTTGTATTCAGGTTTAATTATGTTTGATTAAAATGGTCTTACACTTTTAGTTAGATCTACTCATTTAGAATATATGTGAATGATACTAGAGAAGTCATGTACTCAACACGTTGGTAGATTGTGTACTGGTAGAAACTAGACATCAGCCAGGCAATGGTGGCACATGCCTGTAATCCCAGCACTTGTGAAACAGAAGCAGGTGAATCTCTGAGTTCGAGCACAGCTTGGTCTACAGAGTGAGTTCCAGGACAGCCAAAGCAGTTACGTCGAGAGAAACCCTGTCTCAGAAAGAAACCAGACATGGACTTGACTCTTTCAAGTGTATTGTGTGACAACTGGCTTGCAGTAAGTGATGTATTGAATTGATTGTCCTTTTTTGAAAAGGAGGGTGGAAAAGCAAAAGAACCTGATAGGAATCAAGTTAGTTGGTATTTCGAGGAGTACATTTGCTATTTGGTTTGCTATTCAGTTTATTTCAGATAGTGTTGTAACTCTTCTATTGCATTTTTAAGTGCTTATCAGGTTTTCTTAACCACTAGAAAAAAAGAAACTACAAAAATCAGAAAAGACATGTTTGAATCACTAATAATGTCTGAACCATAAGTTATTTTGAAAAGGATTATGGATGGGAAGTTCTGCTCATCTTTACTGAACTTGAAAGAAGTGAAGGATAAGCCAAATTCCCACACCCAGCAGAACAGAACAAATAATGGCTAATGAGGATGACCCAACCTCCTCACCCAACAAGAGAAGAAATAGAACAGGAGTGATGCCTTGCTGGCATGGAGCACACCTGGGCTTGAGAGGTGGAACCAGGAGGTCAGGAGTTCAGAGGTCATCCTCAGCTACATAGGAAGTTCCAGGCCTGTCTATACTTCTTCCACCTGAAATGCATACATGCACACATATGATGCACACATGAACATCAACAACAAAATACACAATTTTTTAAAGCAGTTTGCTCCTAGAGATGGTGACTCAATAGTTAAAGGCATGTACCTTTTGCAGAGGGACCTGAGTTGGGTTCCCAGCACCTATATCAGGCGGCTTCCAGCTGCCTGTAACTCCAGCTCCAGGGGACCCAAGGCCTCTGGCCTCTGGGCACTCACAGGCACATAGCCACACATATGCATTTACATATACAGATAAATAAAAATAAATCTTAAAAAAAATCCAAAAACTGAGCAAGGTGGCCCATGCCTGTTTTGTCAGTGGGCAGAGACAGGAGGATTGCAGCAAGTTCAAGGCCAATCTGGGTTACAGTTGAGTTCTAAGTCAATCTGTATAACAGTGTGTGGTCTGTCTCCAAAAAAACCAGAAAAGATTGAGGGTGTAGGAATATTTGCCTAGGTTTGGTCACGAGCATGGAAAAATAAGTCAAAAACTTCAGCAAAAGAGGGTTCTGCTTTATTGCTTTAAAAAGTATACTATAATACACTTGGATCCTGCTCCTTCATACATCCTGGGCAAGTACTATACTGCTGAGCTGTGTTCCTCCCACAGGCTTGAGTCAGTCTGTGCTCCTAAATTTGGCGATGGAATGGGTTAGAGTTTTAGGATTAAGGTCAGCATTATATAAGCCACATGAATAAAACTCAAGAATATTCCTGATAGAGGGCTGGGGATGTGTAGCTCAGTTTGTGAGGAGCTTGCCGAACATGTGTGAAGCCCTGGGTTGGTTCCCTAACACTGCTAAACTGGGCACGGTGGCACAAAAGGGTCAGAAGTTCAATAGCATCCTCTGCTACATAGTCCAAGGACCGCCTAGGGTACAGGACACTCCATCTCAAAAAAATCAGACAAGAACAATAAATGTAGTAGAAACTTTCAGTAAAAGTGTTTAATCACAAGCTTATGACACTTACTTCTCTGTGTCTTAGTTGGAGTTCTCAAATATTTTTGTATGGTAAGGTTATCAGGGAAGCTTTTTAATTCTCATTCATTGGCTAGATCCCAGCCAAGCCCATTAAATCAGATTTTGTGGGGATAATTTTTATTTCTGAAATACCATTGATGAGGATAGCTTTTACTTCTGGGTTCATATTACTGTAGTATCTTACTGTAATAAGTATCTTGACTGTGGTGATGTTATTTTTCAGAGGGAGAAGAGAAACTGGATTTAACATGAGTGGAAGTGTGCCAGTGGGAATTTGTAGCCTAGGAGCAGGATGTGATGTTAATAAGTCAACATTTCTGTAGGGTGGCATCAGGAGGCAGAGATGTTGGCCATACAACCTGGTGTGGGGCGCTGCAGCAGGGGTGCAGGTTGGCCAGTCTGGCAGAGTCACTGTTACAGTGAGAACTCAGAAGGAAATGCCACAAAGATGTGGAGACAGTTGTGATACCTGACTGACGGTGATAAGTGAGGGTCGGCTTTATTACACTTATAACGTTTTTGTGCTATTTTGTTTTTGAACAGGCTAATAGCTCGTCAGCTTGCTAAAATCCATGCTATTCATGCACACAATGGCTGGATCCCCAAATCTAACCTATGGCTAAAGATGGGAAAATACTTCTCTCTCATTCCCACAGGATTTGCTGATGAAGACATTAATAAAAGGTAAATTACTAAGGTATTTCATTGCTTTGCCCTTAGTAAGTACTGAAAGATCACAAAGCCTATATAAAATCTGGTTTGCTTTCCTCTCTACACGAAAGTGAACAAAAGCATTGACCCTGTGGCTCTCTGAAAACACTGCAAAAATGGCCTCCCTATCATTTTGAAGGTCGCCACCCCTGAAAAAATGTCCCTACAACATTAAAGGGAGGGTGGAGATGAGATAAATACTGAATATTTAGGAATACTTACAAAGAATACTGTGAAAGGGTACAATGGTACCAATTATGATTGACCATAGAGACCTTTTAAGTGTTTCCATCTATAAACATCTAGAGATGTGTATTGGGACTGTAAAAACGTAGATTATCCTAGTTTATTGTGTTTATTTAAATGACTGGTTGCAGGTTGAAAATTCACTTTCTGGGATCTTAGCTTGACTCCCAAGTTCAAACTGCCTATAGTGTTTCATTATTTTTTATATGAGATTTTTATAGATTAGTCTTTAGAATTTAAATCATGAATATTGTGATTATTAATAATATAAAAATTGAAAATTTTTTATGTCTTATCTAAAGTGTGTTAAGGCTGCATCTTTGTGTAGGAAGTCCGTTTCTAGAATGACAGAGGCAAACTATCTAAAGTTCATAGTGTGCTCACCCGCATGGACATGCACACACACAATCTAAAAAATAAATTTACAGTGTGTCACATACATATGCACACACAAAGAATAAATGTAAGTGGAGCAGGGGACAGCAGACTCTGGGTCCAGACTGGCTGGGTTACCAGTTATTGTCCCTGCCATGTCCCCTGGTAAGTGCTCAGCTCTCTGTCATCGTCTGTGTGAAGGGAATACTGTAGGTTATTAGCTGGGTGTGCTGGTGGTCTCCCCATGTAGACTCCCCATGTGGGGAGTAAGGAGTCATTGATAGACTTCGGATGAAGAACAAAGAGAACAGGTAGCTCTTTGGCAAGGGGTACTTGAATAGCAGTTTGAGTCTTGGTGTGGTGCTCTTGGTAAGATGGGGGAGGTAGCTCATTATGTATCATTTTATTTTCCATCAGATTTGTACAAATAGATCACCCACACCCATACTTTTGGGTTCTTACTTTTTCCAAGGCACCTTTTTATTAACCCTTATGCTTAAAATCTGTGTTAAAAGGTCTTAAAAAAACTCTATCCCCACTTTACTAAGGCAAACTGTAGAGCTTTGCTGTTAAGATAACTAGGCAATATGAGTGTGTCATCTCCATTTCAGACCCTGGTCTAGGATTTTTTGAAAACAGAATTCTTTTTGCATTCATCTTTCCTTGCTTAAAATAAGTATTTTCAGCCTGTAACTTTACATACTACACTTACATCTTAGTGCATTCATTGTCTCAGCCCCTTTCCTGTATAAGGTGACGTAAAGTAAGGTGCTCAGAACGGCACAGCGTGGCTGGTAATGACTTACACCGTTCCTCCCCCAAGTCTGAAGTATCAGAGTTTTTCTTTTTGGCTCTGCATTTTTGTTTTTTTGAGACAGGGTTTCTCTGTGTTGTGTAGCCCTGGCTGTCCTGGCACTCATTCTGTAGACCAGGTTGGCTTCAAACTCAGAGATCCACTTGCCTCTGCTTCCGAAGTGCTGGGATCAAAGGGTGACTGTCTTATGTTTAAATTATTATAAAGGTTTCCTTTATTCAAGTTTTGGAACACATTGATCTATTGTTGAATTCAGGAATATATGTTTATTCACTGGAAACATTTGAAGTAGATTTTTAACTTGAAAGAAGTTTCAATTAGATAAACGAAGCTCTAACTCTTCTTTTAAAATGGAAAGGTTCCTAAGTGATATCCCAAGCCCTCAGCTTCTTCAGGAGGAAATGACTTGGATGAAGGAGATTCTGTCCAACCTGGGCTCCCCTGTGGTGCTTTGCCATAATGACCTGTTGTGTAAGAATATAATCTACAACGAGAAACAAGGTAGGCATTTGACCTTAGCAGTGAGGAAGTTGATTGCCCGTATGCTCTTAATGGTTCCTTGTCTTTGTATCAGTAAATAAGGATTAAAAACATACACAGAGATTGTCTCTTGAAGTTATAAAAGTCATTGTAATTGCTATTAGGGATATATACATAAATGGATAAAATGTCTTTATAAGTTGGTTTATTAGAAACAGTTGGTGGCGCTTGTTTTTTAAGTGTAAAATGATGACATGATTGTGTGTACATACATATTTATAAATATATACATGTAAATGTATATATTCTTTAAAGCTGTTTGGATATTTGAGTTGAAAGCATGTCTGCTGTAATGGGGAGGAAGTGGGATCAACAGATTGCTGCTGCACTGCTGGTTTCTGTGGGAACCCTCGCAGTGCTGTGAGCTCAGCAGCATTAATACCACCAGGCTTTTCAATTCCTATGTATATGCTGACGTAGGAGAGAGACTCAGAGGTAGAAAATACTGTCTTTGTTCATATTTATAGCAAATGAAGTAACAATAAAGAAAATAGCCTTGGGAAATAGATTTAAAATATTCGGAGGCAAAAGTCGATACTTTTGGTGTAACTTTTTGTGTGACTGTTCATATCTTGATTCTCTGTGTTCGTATCAAAAATTCATTGGTTGCATTATTAGCTCACTGGGTAAAGTGGTTTGAGGTTTGGTTGCTAAACAATAAACACTTTCAAATACTAATTTAAAATTTAAAAGTACAATTCGTGTTAAAAATAAATATTTGAAAAGTATGCTTGAAACTGTGAAGCTGCTACTTTCACAGGAAGCCCATTTTGAAACTAGTCATATTTGGAAGACCATGTTTTAAATTTAAAAAAGGTGCTTTTGTGAATATGCTAAAGCCAAAGAATTACTATTGATACTGTCATCTATATATTAGATTGACCATTAGTGACCTACTCAAAGTTGGAACTGTTCTAATAAAAGAATTGTTAGTAATTATGGCTAACTTTAACCTGAAACCCAACTAAAGGGTCAAGGATGGTAGCCTTAAGCTTTATTTTCAAAAACATTTGTCTTTCATATTTCATATTTTAATGTGTGGAGATGGTTTAAAAAATACCAAGCTAAAGTCTTTGTTTTGGATCATGTTAATTCTTGTGTGGAATCACTTTATTTAAACCTTAGGTATGCCCTAAAGCATGAACTATGACAGTTTCTTTTAATGGGTTTACTGTCCTGATGATGCAGTTGTTACAGTAAATAGTGGTGACCAAATCTCAATGCCATATGAGACAGGAGCGTTTGGTATGCCGAAGAGTGTGCTAGCTTAAGTTCAGTGCAAGACCTGATACCACACTTATGTGATGGAGTTTGAAGTAAGGGGCTTCATCTTACATTTGAAGTGGACACTCAGCTTTATTTTTAACTGCAAGTTAAAGGGAATTTGTTACTTCTTTGGAATATAATTTTAACTTGTCATATTTTTATTTTTATGTTTCTTTTGCATATTCATTTCATAGAACAAACTTGTTTATAAAACTAAAAAATAAGGGACCAAAAAAATCAGATTACTCTGTCATAGGTGCTTTACTTTTCATTTAAACAGTTGTCAATCTCAGCTGTTGATATTTACATGTAAAGTGCTATATTTCGATGAGAACAATTAGACTTTAATTTGGCATTAGAGGTCAAAGTGCCCCCTCTCTGTCTCTCTGTCCTTCTCTTTTCAGTAGGAGTCCATGTTGTATTGCTTGCTCCTTATCTTCGTGGGTGTTTGAGTGTTCGTAATGGAAAGGCTGTGTGTATGTTTTCCCCTTTATCAGTAAGTTGTTTTATGTTTAATCGAAAGGCTACTTGGATCTTGTGGCATCCTTTTGTAAGATTTTTGTTAATAATTGATACATAAACACTAAGACACACACTCTTGGTTGAACTGTTCAGATAATTTCTAAAATTTATGAACATCTGACCAGAAGTTATACTGTTACTATCCTTTGATGGTGTTCCAGGTGAAGAGCTGGTAGTTTTGAGATAATGAAATTATATGACCTGTTTGAATCTATAGTTACAAATAGAAGATACCATGCCTTTTCCCAACAATTGGGTAAGCTTAATGCATAAGAAATGATGCGATTGCCCCTGGAGCATTCCTTTGACACTCCAGAGGTGATCTTAGAAAGGGCAGTGTGGGAGCCAAGCGTGTGTAGTGGTGCACATCTGTAATCACACCACTTGGGAGGCAGAGGCAGGTATATCTCTGAGGCCAGCCTGGTCTACTTAGTTCTGTGTTAGCCAGGGCTACATAGTGAGTCTCCATCTCCAGAAAATGTGTGTGTACATACACACACGCACAAGAACACGCGCACACACACACACACACAACTGGGGAGCTGGCTCAGCCATTAAAGGCTAGGCTCACAGGCAAAAAGAAAGGGAGGACTGAGTGGACTACACATCTTGGCTGTCTGCTTCCTGTGCTGTAGCAAAGGAAAGCTAAGCTGAGCTTATGAAAGGGAGGGTAACTTACACATACAATAATGAATTAAATTTTGCATTATATTCACATACACATTTGATCTGTTGCTCTAAAGTCACTCATGTAACTTGAGTTCAGGCCCTCACTGTTTTCTGGTTATGTTATGAGATACAAATAGATAATAATAATGGATGAAGTGAAGGGACTGGCCTTGATGTCATCGAGCTGTCTTGGTCATCTGCTGTAACTTAATTTCTCAGAAGTGTAAATTTGAAGCTGACTTAGTAAATTTGTACAGTATCATCTTGAGGTGTCTACATACATTAAAAATGATAATGTGATGAGCTGGCTTTGCATTAATATGCATACATAGTTTGCCAGCCCTTATATCTGTTTGTAGCATGCATTTTATACAATGTATCTCATCAAAAGAATGAAGGATAGTTTTTAAGCACTGTGGCCTGTGTGTGAGAGATGACACTCAGTTTTTAAGTGCACCCAATGTATTTGGCATTCTCCTTTGTAAATGTTAGAGGAATGCATAGGTATCGTAACAAAAAAAAATTTGCACACTTAACATCCTTAAGTGTAGAACATTTCTACCATCTTGGAGAGAGCCTCATGTTCTCGTGAAGAGTAATTCTAACCCTGTATTGATGCTCACACTGTCAGAAGACAGCACTTAGGGGACACAAGACAGGGTAGGTGTCCTTCTGGGATGAATTGGTATGGGGATTTTGAAAAGTTAGCCCCAGAGTTCAGATGTTTGTTAAGCAATGGCCCATTCCTGGCTTTGACTGAAGTGACATTGTTCCCCAAAGTGGGGACAGTGCATACTGATGAGATAGAATTTGGAATAAATAAAATGGAAAGCAGTCGTTCTTCCTCCAGAGCCACAGGCAGCATTATGCATTTATCTGTTAATTTGTTTATTTCACCAGCCTGGAGTGAGGAACTTGGAATATTGTTTATTGACTGGCTTCCAATGTAATATTTTGATCCTAACTAATTCTTTAGTTGCTGACATGTCAGCTTTGAGATTGCTTTCATGTCTCTACTTCTGTCAGATGACGTTCTTTGGTTTGACGATGACTTCTGGTAGTTCATTCATTTCTTTCTTCATTCTCATTTCTTCGTAAGAGCCTACATATGAGGCTTACTATATCTCTAGTAATCATTGTCTGTTTTCTCTTGAGTAAAATAAAAGAAGTTGGTTGGTAAGCATTTAGGCAGTTTAGAGTAGTAGAAGAAAATGAAGACCCTTTTCTTAGAATTTCTTTAGTTGTACACGCTGCAGGTAGGAAAGTCACCACTACTGTGCGTTACCTGATTGCCTCTAAGCCAGATCCATTCTGCTCTTACTAATGCTCTTACTAATTTGTTGTTTTAATGACTTAGAAGATAGTTTTCTGTTGATTTTATTTTAAAATTTCAACAAAAATCTGACTTGTTAGGAGAGTTGTAGAGATTTCTTTTAGTACCTTCTTGCTGGACTGAGACAGCTCTCCATGGCTCCTTAGGAAGACTGTCCCTGAGGTACTGCAGATGGAGTTCAGCTGGTGTATTGCTGGCCTGATATGCTCAAAGCATGGCCTTGGGTGCCATCCTCAGTATTGCACATATGGGTGTGACGTCCCTCTAATCCAGTATTGGGAGGGTAGAGAAAAGGGGATGGGAAGTTCAAGACCATCATCCTGAGGGCCACTTGAGTTTCTATGTTTTTAAAAAAAACAGCAGAAACAAAACAAATCCTGTCTTCATTTGAAAGATAATCTCATATACAGACAAATGTAAACATTTATTGATGAAACAACTAGAAATAGGTATATAATCATATAAACATGTTTGCTTATAAAAACCAATGTATCATATACAGCTTTGCTTACCCTCTTGGAGTACCGCTGTACTCATTGAAATAAAAGCTGGTTATATATTATTTTATTTAAATATTTACAAATACAGATATAAAAGTAAATCTAATAAATAGCACATATCTGATGTATAGTGATTACCCATGTACCTGCCACCTAGAATCTAGAATTGACAAGTTTGTGCTTTCTCACCCCACCTCATCTGTCCATCCATCAGTCCATCTTACTTTCTTTTATGTGTATTAATGAGTTGCAGACATGATTGGCCTTCATGCGCAAGCTCTTTAGCAACATAGCATCTCTAGAGCCCGGCCTTTCACTGAAGTGTTCCGTGCCAAGCTTAGCACACTGAACTGGGTGTGGTGATGTGGACCTGGAATTGCAGCCATTTGGGAAACTGAGGTGTAGGATATCTGGAGCCTGAGAAGTTCAGGGCCGACCTAGGCACCATAGTGAAATCCTGCCTTTAAAAACAAAAAGGAGTTTTAAGCATGCTACTTGGTGAATTTGACAGGTGTTTACACTCCTACAACTGGAACGCCTGAAGTGTAGAACATTTCTACCATCTTGGAGAGAGCCCTGTGTTCCTGTGACGAGTAATACTAACCCTGTACTGATTGGTTCTAGACTACTGTGTAGGAAGAGAAACTACCCCAGAGTCAGGCAAGCAGCTGTAAAACTGAACCCTAGCCAGGTGCCTAACTCCCAGGAGGCAAAGGCATGAAGATTGCCATGTGAGGCTTGTGTGGTCTATATTGTAAATACCTGGCCACTCAGGGCTGCATAGCAAGACCCTGTTTTAAAAACCAGCCAAACCATTCCTGAACTATTAAGGACTAAGATGTTACTAGATCTTTGTTTTCAGTGTTTATTTTACTCTTAGTTTCATACATGTTTATGATGTACTTTGGTCATTTCCCTCTCCATTATTCTCTCATTCTTTTATCATTCCTGCTGAACCCTTTCTTCAGCCCTCCCCTCCTCTTTGTGTGTGGCCCACTAAACTTAAGGGCTGTTTGCATGGACACGGGCAGAGGCTTAGAGCCTTTTTACAGCGTGGATTCAGGTCCACTAGATTTGGTTCATCCTTGAATGGGGATGTTAACATGAAAGACCACGTTTTTCTTCTTTGAATGCTCTTTGCAACCCCTCCTCATACGTTCCTGTGTCTCAGTGTTCTCTGTAGACTCCATTTCTCCCCTAGCCTTTGGCCCCTTCTCACATGCCAGGAGGGCTCTTCTGTCCCTTCCTCCAGGCTCTATATCACACAGCAATGGCCACTCCCTAGCCCTCGAATTTAGAGTGATTTAAGCTCTGATGGACCAGGTGATACAGCAGAACTGGGTGTTTCCCATCCTAGATTTTCCTGCCTGGGTCTGTGTGAGACAGACAGTGTTTTTGCAGAATTCCTGTGAAGTCAGTGCTTTTCCGTATAGATGTTGCTGTGTGTTTAACAGCAGAGCAGGTGGAGGGAGCTGGAAGGGACTCATATTCTCATATTGATAACTTAGTTTCTCATTTTTATCTTATTTTTAACAAAATAAAGTCAAGACAAATGTGTCTTGCTATTATTAAATAGCCTTGGGTAGTTACTCAGTTTTGGCTTTAAAGTGCTTTGCTTTTATAACTAGAAGACTTTTTCTTGTATCGAGATTTGAACAGTATAACTGGATTTTTCCTGCAGTAGTGAAGGGCTTCAAATGAGTAAAAAACAAAAATATAGCTTTAAAAATTCAAATTCATCCATCATTTGCTTTATGCATTGTATGTGTGTCACTGATGTAACTATCTAAGGTAATAAAATCCATGCTAGCCCTTAAGCTGGTTGTTGTTTTTAAAGGTTAAGGATTTCTTGAGATCTGGATGATCGAGAAGCCCCTTCGTAGGAAGTGAGTGTTCACATACAGTTCTAGGGAGTATTCTCATTATCTGTCTACCCCTGAGACCCCAATAAGAAATTTTTATCTTAAAGAATTATCAATAGTGATATGAACATTCTTAGTATTGGGAAGTATTAGAAATAAGAATTAAACTTGCTGGATAAAGAAATAGCATGTTCATGTTTCTTTTGCTAGGAGAGCCATTTCCAATACCGTAATTTGATTTTTCTGGCACCCTAAAATAGACATCTGTAATTTTACATTATTGCAGAATTTTAAATTTAAGGTTGAGTTCCACTTTGTATAACTTGAAAAGAATAGTTAATGCAGATTTTTAAAAATTTCTTTCCTTTAAAGCTTTGTGTCTTGTACAATGTGAGTTTGCCAAATTCTCTTCATCTGCTACAGATTAGGTATGCCATTGCTGCTGCCATGTGGCGGCGCACCCGTGCTTCTTAAACGCACTGCCTGGAGCTTTGTCGCCTCACTTGTTCCCATGCACGGAGCCTGGTAACAGCCCCATCTGTACTTTGTTAGCTTCATTTTCTTACCTTTAGATGTCATTGTAAACTCAGCATAGCATTTAAACATAAAGGCCAGTGTTAATGAGATAACACTACTACAAAGCCACTGCTAAACTTTTCATGCTGAAACAGATTTTAACTTTCCTTAAAATGATTTATGTTATAAGTAAATTATGTGTATAAGCAGGTCTGTTTTTACCTGCCGTTTTAACTGTATTTGCCAAATTCTAAATGTAATTTTGAAAACTGAAGTTGTAAGCTTCAGGACTGGGCTGTGTATTTTATTGGCATTTAACTGTAACATGAGCTCTACAAGGAGTTGTGCTAACGAGTCAGAGCCGTCAACAGCTGCATGTAAAGTGATGTGTATTAAACATGTTTGCTGGGTTCAGTTAGGAACCCTGGGATATGTATTCTGTTCTTAGAAGGCTTGTGGAGGAATAGGCATGTTCTGGACCATTCTATTCCATTTTCTTTGTTGGCAGTTTCATATAGCATATCCATAGAGTCACATTTTTCCTTCAGAAATCCTCATTGTAATGAAGTTAAAAAAATAGTTAAAGGGAAAAATCACTTGTCTATCACCTGTGGCAAAAGGAGCTGAACATTTGTTAGGGTTTATTTCAATTCATCCTTGCCCTGTATTCAGTGTACTCTTCTTGTTTTAGATGTATTTTAATCAATTGTGTCACAGTGTATTGGTTGATTCAGTATCCATGACTCTTATATTTTGGCCGTTAGGTTTGAAAGCTGTTTAACGGCTTTGTGTGAGTCGAAGGCTTGCCATGGCACTTGTCTGCAGCCTCTCATTGCCAGCCTTGTCCACTTCCCTTCTGTTGCTCAGTGAAGTCCTTCAGTTAGGAGTGTGCTTGTCCAGTAGTCCTGGGCTTGCAGCAGGCCACACTCGAGGCTAAATTGCAGTGTGATTTATTCTCACTAATATATATTTAAGAAACCTTATATTTATTGTAACACTATATGTCCAATTTTGCAAACTGAAATATGCTCTGATCATCGTCATTTTTTGCAGTAGAGCTTTCTCTCCCTAGTACTGAGCATCAACCCCAGGCCTGGTGCCAGCTAGGCAGGCACCCCACCACCAAGCTCTTCCCCAGCCCCTTGCCTGCCATTCTTAAAGTTTTAGAATTATATTAAATATAATTGTTGCCCAAAAAAACTTTACATTTACCACAACATTTTTTGGTCACATGTTTTTGGTTTTCTTATGATTGACTATGCTCAGTATACTTTTTTGGCTTAACTATACAAATCTCTATTAAGACATTAAAATTCAGATGCTGTTTATTTGGGAAATGCCACTGTGTATAGACCAAGAGTCCGTTTTGTCACCATCACGGGTGACAAGATGGAGTGACACAAATTTTCCCAACCTGAGCATCCTGGAAATGACTCTCAGAGCTGTGACCATTCTTGTGTCCGCTGTAGCTGTAGCTCCATGGTTTACACATTTCTCTGGTGTAGACAGTGACGTACATTAGTTATTTTCTTTTCTCAAAATTAATATCTCTAACTTCTATTTTTTGTTTATTTTGTCCATATACAACATGTATATTTACATGTAATACCTCCATAATGAGTACTTAAAAATTTACGTGTAGTAGTATTCACTTAAAAGGCTAACAGAATTGTCTTTACACACATACACACATATACACACACACACACAATCTTAATTTAACTCATGTAAAAATAAAATTTTTAAATGTTAGAAACTGTGTCATTACTCGTTTTAAAAGGTGAAAGCACTACTGTAACACCCCTAAGACATGGAACACTCAGTTGTGGAATTATGCCAAACATAAGAATTTGATAGCAACTCACTTCTTAGACTGGTCAGTCACAGAATTCAGGTTTTCAGAGTTTATGTTTGATTTTTCATGTGTAGATAAGCTTGTCTTACAGTGTGTCATAAGTGATATTTCGTGAAGATAGGCTCTTAACAATTTCAAAGAGTTATTTCTAATTAAACATGAATTTTTAAGTTACTGATGCCCCCATGTGGCGAAAAACATCTTCCTTCTATTAGAACTTAGAAATGACTATATTTTCATTTAAACAAGTGAACAGTAGTGTTCTTGAAATGCTGTTGATCAAGAGACATAATTTGAGTTTTGTAAAGCTCATTGCCATAAAATTCACAGCCTCACCCTGTGTTGTCTCAGAAGTGCATGTAACCAAGCACACACATTGAGACAAAGTATGAGAAGGATTGAATTACAGATAGCATAGGGGTCTTCAGATCATGTATATGATTTCTTATCTGCTTTGTTTTTGTGTCTCACATAGGTGACGTACAGTTCATCGATTATGAGTATTCTGGATACAACTACCTGGCATATGATATTGGAAATCATTTCAATGAATTTGCAGGTGAGACCCACACATCACTTTGGGGGCTCCTACTAACAATGTTGTTTTTAGGATGAGTACCTGGGTAGGAGTGGCCCATCTGCCCACCATCTTGACCCGCTGGCTTTGTTTACTTGGAGAAAAGAGCTTTTCCTTTATTTGTCATCAGGAGATACTGCACAAGGGGGAGATAACCATGGCTTGTGTGAGAAGAGCTCACTAATACTGCAGGGAAAGAACCCAGGTTTTGATCATGTGACGACTTCTTTTGGGGCTGGGGTTTCAGCTCTGCTTCCCTATCACATGTGCATGTGAATTTTATTCTGTCATTACTTAAAGAACAGGAGGTGCTTTCTATGTAAATGAAATTAATATATAATTAACATGACTGTATTTAGAATTTTCCTAAAAGTAAAGATTAGAAAATGCTTTGGGTGTTTTTTTTCTAGTGAGGATATTTCATCACTGAACTTGCACTTGTAACAGATTCCTGTCTTTTTATATATTTCAGGTTACCAGGCTAGGTGAAAGTTTTGTTTCTAGTTACTTAGTTCCACCAAATTCACCATACATGTATGTGCCAGAGCTTATGTATATTGTAGAAGTAACCGTCTTATTAAATAAGAAACACAGAGCCAGTGCAAATATGAAAGCCCAAGAGGTCAGAGCTAAGAGCCTTACCCTTCACTGCTGCAGCTATCCTCTTCAGCCAAGAGACCTACTTCCTGTGTGTTTGTCTTTATATAGACTTTCTGTTCTGCCTTCTCATTGGTTGTAAACCCAACCACATGACCACCTCATCACTGCCTGTCTGTACAGACCTCCAGGTCTTCTATGGTTGGTATTGAGATTAAAGGCATGTGTCTCCAGTGCTGGCTGTATCCTTGAACACACAGAGATCTGCCTAGCTCTGCCTCCCAAGAGCTGGGATTAAAGGCGTGCACCACCACCGCCCAGCTTCTGCGATGGTTTTGCTATTAGCTCTAACCCCCAGGCAACTTTATTTATTAACATACAAATAAAATCACATTTCAGTACAAATAAAATGCTACCATATTTCACATGTTGTCCCATAGGCAGGAATGGGTTTGTATAGGATAAGAATTTACCCTTTCAAGCCAGCACTTAGGAGGCAGAGGCAGGTGGATCTCTTGAGTTCAAGGCCAGCCTGGTCTACAAAGTAAGTTCCAGGGCTACACAGAGAAACCCTGTCTTGAACCCCCTGACTTCACCCACAAAAAAGAATTCACCTTTCATGACAGATACACTATTGTAGCTATGAAGGAGGAAGCCAAAATTGTCTTAGAACTTCTTTGGGGAAAAGCTGAATTAAAACCTGAATGTTAGGTAGTATTTGGATGTGCAAATGGAAGAGGAAGGAGGCAGCATTAAGATGAGTGTCTTAGTTAGGGTTTCTCTTGCTGTGAAGAGACACCATGACCACAACTCCCACAAAAAAGCAAAAAAACATTTAATTGAGGAGGCAGCTTACAGTTTCAGAGGTTTAGTCCATTATCATCATGGTGGAACATGGCAGCATGCAGGAAGAAATGGTTCTGGAGAAGCAGCTGAGAGCTCTACATCTTTTAGGCAGCAGGAAGTAGTCTGAGACACTGGGCAGTATCTTGAGCATATACGAGACCTCAAAGCCTGCCTTCACAAACAAGACCACACCCAATCCAACAAGACCACACCTCCTAATAGTGCTACGCCCTTTGAGGGCTGTTTTTTTTTTTTTTTTTTTTTTTCTTTTTTCTTTTTTTCCAACCACCACGATGAGATTGCTATCTTTAGGATAGAAACCTCTGGATGGAGAAGCAAAGGTTACATTAGAGAGGCGGGTTTAGGGTATTCATGAAGAGCCCAGATGCCAGTCAGGAATAGTAGACTGTGATAATGGCCCACCTAACTTCCTTATTCCCTTCTTTTTCCCTTTCTCTACTTCTCCTTTCAAGTGAAATGGAAAAGATAGAAATAGAAAATACCAGAGTTGGATGATAAATGAGAGTAAATATATTGTTTTCTGAAACTTTATAGCAGTTTAACATAGGGATATGTTTACCCTGAGTGTGATCAAAAACTGCATAGAGGCAGGGCTTGTACCTCTGTTCACCTCATCATGCTTAAAGCCACCCATGGCCTTATTCAAATGTAGATTGGGGCTACTGCTGAGAACTTTATCAGTTTCCTAAGATGAGCAGCAGCTGTGTGCCTTAGATTTAAGCTGGGATTCTGAACGCCTGGTCCATTGTTTAATAATAAGGTTTTGCTAGCCGAAGTGAAAGGTTTCATTACTTTTCAGTTAAAACGTTGGCTGGTAGTACTTAGGCCTTCTAAAGGGTGTTTCTCAATAGTCTGTCTCTCCCCAGGTGTCAGTGATGTAGACTATAGTCTTTATCCAGATAGAGAACTCCAGGGCCAGTGGCTGCGCTCTTACCTTGAAGCCTACAAGGAGTATAAGGGCTTTGGCAGTGAAGTCACTGAAAAGGAAGTAGAGACACTCTTCATTCAAGTCAACCAGTTTGCATTGGTAAGTTCAAATGGAATCAGTGACAATTTTCTAATGCACCTAACTAAATTTTGATCATTGTATAAATCACTTTTTAGTTTTTTCAATTCTGTTTCAAATAATGAAAAAACATGATTCCTTACAGTTTGCCTCTTAGTTTATTACCTTGCTTTAAGGACATACTCGTTGTTTTATCCACTTATTTATCTTTACGTGCGTTTAGTTTGAAAATACTTTATCTTCTGAGAATATTGTAGTTCATTAGCATAGCTTGCAGCTAATGTGTTAAAGCATTCCTGAGTAACTTAATCAATTCCTTCAGCTATGTTATAGGCTTTAATATGACTGTAAAATTGGCTTTGGGAGCATTGGCCACCTTGTTTTTTTCAAGTAGACTGCAGCGATGGCCCCCAGCTAGACTGTTGATAGTTTTGTGCAGCACAGATTCCCCATATACACTCAGAGCACTCAAATGAGAGGATGTGTTCAGATGTGGTAGCTGCTGTCTGTGGTTATGTAGTAGAGCTGCTGGGCAGCTAATGAGGCTGCCATTGAAGTCCTTGATGTCTATGTAACGATACTCATCCACAGACTTCCTGCAGTGTTCACATGCTTTTTTTTTTTGATTCTGGAATTGTGTCTGTATATGGTTTATTAATCAGATGCTAAGCATGTACTGCTATGCTAGTTTAGGTGGATTGGAAGTATACCATTAAAGTCCTTCAAAATGCTTATAGCTTAGAATGAAAAGATATCATATTTTGGTAAAACTTAGCACCCATATCTATTTTAAATTCCTAGCAAAGTGTAATTAGAAATAAACTTAAATGTGATTTAAGGGGAAAAACACCTTCATGGTGGTGCATGCCTCCAGTTCTAGCTCTTGAGAAGCAGATGCAGCAGGATCTAGAGTTTACCACCAGGCTGGCCACACAGCAAGGAAGGCTAGCCTGGACTATATTACCTTAAAATACTAAACCAAACCAAAATAAAAAGCTTACTGTACTTTAAATATATTTATTTGGACCCATGTGTCCTCTAGCCTTGTTGTCCAGGCCCCTCGTGTTAGGATTACGGGTAGAGTTGGCCATGGTGGCTACAGCATACAGAATGTCATTTATACGAGGACTGCAGAGATGTTTGAATGGATGGGTGACCTCAGTTCTTCTTGCCTTAGAGTTTAAGGTCTTTCTCCAGGTGTCTTTTCCGTCATTGATGCAGAGCCAAGAGGCACGCATAGGGTTTCCAGTAACATGATGGTCAGTCTCATCTCCTTAGCCCCTGTTTCGCAGCATCCCTGTGACTTGCCATAAGGATCTGCGTGGTGAAAACAATGTTGTTTGAGGCTTACTTCTACCTACCCCAAAGTGGTCTCGATCCATAGGTTCAGCACGACTGCTCTGAGCGATCTCATTGGCCCTTTTGGTGCTTTTTGTCTTAGAGGATACACCAGAAATAAAACCTGGTTATTAACACCATTACTTTTCTAGAGCATCTCTAGTAAAAGTAGAATATTTCTGGGAAAGTAAAATTTCATTTTTGTTACCAGCATTAAAAAAAAGTGTGTATGAGTGTTTTGCCTGTGCCATTTGTATGCCTGGTGCCCACAGAAGCAGGGAGAAGACATCAGATCCCCTGAGTTACAGATGGCTATGAGCTTCTGTGTGGGTAGGTGGTAGTTGCTGGGAATCTCATCTGGGTCCTCTGGAAGAACATCCCCATGTTACCAGAATAAAAAAAAAGTTGAACATTCTAATTTATCATTTTTGTGTTTGTGTGTGTGCGCAAGCGCTCACGCCCTCAAGAGTCATTCAACCAAACATGTAAAATAAAAATGTTAATCATTTAAAAAATAGTTGTAAGGCATGCATACAATTACGTTTCAATTTCTAATCACATTAGTTTTAAGTTCTAGGATCTAATTTTCACTGATAAACTTGTTAATCAGAGTTGTCATCTGTGTGTATAATGAACCAATAAAATAGGTGGGGGGTGTGAGCCACTACTCGTGTCTGTTTGCTGTGTGGAGTGCTGCGTTCTGCATTGGGCAAAGGCTATAGGAACTACTAGGCTTGAGTTTTCAGTCATTCTGACTTTGTCGCTTCCTACTATAGACAGTCATCAGTAACTACCCTAGTATAGACAGTCATCAGTAACTACAGTCATCAGCAACTACCCTAGTATAGACAGTGGTCAGTAACTACCCTAGTATAGACAGTCATCAG